CTTCACCAAGGAGGTTATTCAAGCAGCCAACAAACATATGAAGAAATGCTCACGATCATTAGCTATTAGAGAGATGCAAATCAAAACAACAATGAGGTTCCATCTTGCTCCAGCACTGGTAGCAAAGTTCAACAAGACAGAAAATAACAAATGCTGACGAGGATGTGGAGAGATCTGGACTCTCACACACTGCTGGTGGGACTGTAAAATGGTACAAGTACTGTGGAAACCAGTACGGTGATTCCTTAAAAAATTGGAATTAGAAATACCATTTGACCCAGCCATTCCATTACTAGGCATATATCCTAAAGAAGTGAGAGTCATGACAAGAACAGACATATGCACACCCATGTTCACTGCAACACTATTAACAATAGCCAAAAGATGGAAACAACCTAGGTGTCCATCAACTGAGGAATGGATAACCAAACTATGGTACATACACACAATGGAATATTATGCAATGCTAGAAAATAATGTGGACTCTGCAAAACACCACATAACATGGATGAACTTGGAGGACATTATGCTGTGTGAAATAAGTCAATCACAAAAGGACAAATATTTTATTAGTTATTGAAAGTCAAGGAAAGGTTTATCTATGGAAGGTAATTTTTTGGTTGGTTACCAGGGATGGAAGGGGAGGGTAGGGAATATGGTTAGATAGATAGAGATAAGTATTGATTTGGGTGAAGAAAAGGGCATGTACCAAATGCGAGTGACCAATATTGTGGCACTGAGGAAGAGGAAGAGGAAGACATAGAGAGGTACATGGGAGGTACAGACAACAAAGATGAACCCTTCTGCACACAGAGTACAGCATTATCAGTGAAGGTAAACACGGGTATACGAGTGGATAGATGGGTGGATAAGCTGAACTAGCAGATATGTCTATGAAGTGAGGATTTTACCCAAGACCATGTATAGGGTTGGCAGACAATGGTTCTATAAGTTTATTTGTATGATCTGAATTCCCAGGTGTAAAGTAGAACTGAAAAGGGGCAGATTGTAGTCACTTCTTGGTCACAGCCAGCTATCCAGAGGGACTGAGTTGTTGAACCTGTGAGCTCGGGACCATAGTCACAGGGGACATCAAGCTCAACTGGCATAACATGCTACACAAAACATTGTTCTACCTCTTACTTTGGTGAGTAGCGACTGGGATCTTAAAAACCTGCAAGCTGCCATCTAGATGCAACAATGGGTCTCTCCTTGTCCACAGCAAAGAAGAATGAAGAAAACCAAAAATTCATGGAAACAATTAGTCCTAACGACTGGGACACCATCCGATCCGCAGCCTATACAACTACGAGACCAGAAGAACTAGATGGTGCCCGGCTACCACTGTCAACCACTTGCAAAGGTTCTATGTAGCAGATCCTGGATAGAGAGGGAGAACAAGATGTAACAAAACTCAAAATCATTTGGAGGAAAAAAAAAGGGGGAGTACTAGGTTTTTTGGTCCATTAGAGCCTGGTGGAACCATTGAGACAATGGCCCCCAATTGCCCTTCAGGTGTGGAATTGAACCCACACCTGTGGCTTCCAGACAAACAAAAGACAGGCATGTGAGTTGAACATTTACCTGAGGTAGATACACTCCTTGGAGAGAACAATAATGGGAGAAAGAAGGGCTGCTTATGCACAGGGAGACAGCTCAGGGGGCAGAAGTGCATGGAGGTAAGGATACAGGGAGGAGGTAACTATCAGGAGGAAGTGGGAGGGGAACTGTTGCATTGTGGTAAATTGTGGTCAATGTCATAAGACAAAGTATATGTGAACTGCTATATGGAAAATGAATTTGTTCTTTAAATTTTCACCCAAATCACACACACACAAAAAAAGCTACCAAAGAAAACAATACATTCCATACTGGAAAAAAAATGTAAATGACCATGAACTTTTGATCGAAAATTAGAGAGACTAGAAAATAGTGGAACAACAAACGACAAATTCCAGTTAAATGTAAAAGATAATTATTCTTTTGTAGACCTCGATGGACTATATCCATAATAAAGTCCTCTAATTATGTATCCATTCAGAATTTGAATGTTCTGAGGATGTTTTATCTCAAAATGACACTATTCAGAGGGAACTGGATAGCTGTTCTTTAAATATTCAAAGACTTGTCATTATAAATCCAGAAAGCAGTACTGATTTCAAGCTAATGAGAAATTATATACCAAATTTCAACTTAATATAAGAATTTTTCTAAAAATAGAGCTATTGAACAATAGAACAGGCTTCCTAGTAAGACAATAAGCTGCCCCCATAATTAAATATACTCAAGTAGAGGCTAAAGGACTATCTGTCAGAGATGTTGGAGGAGAATTATCCATTACAATATTGATATTCTAACTTTTTGATTTATCTAACTCAATGTTGTTCAATAAATCAAAATCAAACCCACTGGTGTCAAGTCAATTCCAACTTATGGAGACTCTATGTACTATAGAGTATAACTGCCCCATAGTTTTTTCTTGGCTGTAATCTCTACAGAAGCAGATCACTAGGCCTTTCTTCTGCCTTGCTACTAGACAGGTTCAAATTCTCAAGCTTTCAGTTAGTAAACAAGGACAGACCATTTGTGCCACCCTGCTTAATACAAGGCTGTATTACACCAAATACAATCCCCAATATACAATATAAAAGTTTTCTTTTGCCTTTTTTTTGTATTATTGCCTTTGTACTCACACCTGTTATTTCTATAAGCTCTATTTTATACTTTTAATTCCATCTAAAATCATACAAATACTAGTCCCTTAAATGTATATAGCATTTATAGTTTATAAACACAATTCCAAATACACTAGTTCATTTGAATCTTTCAAACTCTTCTAAGGTAGGCTAAGAAGAGATTTATAAAACTGCTAGATGTCATTATGACATTCCTTGAACCACAGCCCACTAATAGATCTTACTGATCAACTGTTCTGTACTGTTGACTATTTGCATTTAAATTTATGCCCTTCTGCCCCTAAATGACACAGAAATGTATTTAAGACAACCCTTAACTTTTAAGTTAAATGAATCGGAGGGAAAACTATGCAATCAATTTGTTTTTAAAGATACTTATTGATGGCCTATATTTTAAAATGAAATGAAGGAGTACATCCACTATATCCAAAAGGGTACACTGCAACATTATTCACAATAGCCAAAGGGTAGAAACAACCCGAATGCCCATCAACAATGAATAAACAAAATGAAGTCTATGCATAAAACGATTATTCAGCTATAACGATAAATTAAGTTTTAGCACATGCTTTGACATGGATGAACTCTGTAAACATTACACAGAATGAAATAAGTCAGACACAAAAGGACCAATATTGCATGATTTCACTTCCATGGATAGTAGACAAATGCATAGAAACCAAAGTTTATTACTGGTTACCAGGTATAGGTGGGAGGGGGAAAAAGCAGAGTTATTGCTTTAAGGGGTACTGAGTTTCTGTTAAGGGTGATGAAGAATTTGGAAATGGATAGTGATAATAGCTATAGAACATGGTGAATGTAATTCATGTTAACCAATTATATACGTAAAAATGGTTGATCTAAAGATGTAAAATCTCAAAATGAATGATGGCAAATACACACAGAAACACACTCACACATATCTCAATAATAAAAAAGAAAGAAAAAGTACCTGTTGCAATATCTGACTTTGCATCAGGAGAAGTGGGTGGTGTCTCAGAAAGGTTGACATTTCTGATCTGACAGTTTTCAGAAGTGTTGTTAGGTTCAAATGAAGTGGATGGAGTAGAAACTGAACTTTCTGACTGGTTCCCATTTGCAACTGATGTTTCAACTTTTAATGAGTGCATCTAGGGAGAAAACAAATTGGAATTAATAAGAATAATATGCCAAGGCATATTAAACCAAAATATGAGTTAAATCAATTTACACTCTGCAATAGGGAGAAGTACTAAAATCTAAAATGTGTAATCCTAAACATGACTTAATCACATTATGAAATCCAACTGCAAGCAGGTAAGAGCATAAAGATTCTTAAAGCACACTATTGATTTTCTTTCAAAATAGAATTCAAAGAAAAAGTTATAAGGTATACTAGTCATTAGCCCACTGAGATCCAATTCTTTATATCAGAATTCAAGTGGATGCAAATGAGAAATTATTGAACATAAGATTTTTAAATTTGTCAAGCAGTATGACATATTGCTGTTAGGACCATAATGAGAGAACAATTCTCCCTCAAAACAAGGATAGGCGATCCCTGGGTTATGACAAATTATGTACAACCCACAATTATGAGCCAACCCTTGTAAAGTCTATTACATTAAAAAAGTCAAGTAATAACAACGGTTCCTAATAACAGGTGCTATATTTTGCAATGGGATCAAAACATTATCGTTGTTGTTGTTATGTGCCGTCGAGTCAGACCCGACTCACAGTGACCCCGACCTGGGTTTCCGAGGCAGTATCACTATGGAAGTAGATTGCCCCATCTTCCTTCTGAGGAGTGGCTGGTGGATTTGAACCGCCAACCTTCTGGTTAGCAGTCAGGTACCTTAGCCACTATGCTACCAGAGCTCCCAATATTATCATTACTAGTGTATTATTAAAGATATTTGGGGTATATGGACCTTTTTTTTTTTTTTAAATGTTTTTATATATAGAAAGGTACATTATAAATTGCACACTAAGATAAACATTTGACTGGCGTTAGATATGAACCATGCCTAACTGTGTGACTAACGTATAAATTCAACTTAAAAGACAGACTTAAGAATGGAATTTGTTGTAATCCAGGGACTGCCATAATGATGATGTGCATGATGTGATTGGGGGAGGTGGAGAGGAAAAAAAGAAGAGAGAATAAGAAGTCACTGAAGTATTAGGTATAGGCACATCCAACTTCAAAATGCTCTTTTGAAAACCAGCCCAGCACAGTATTTACTACCTTCAAAGTTTCATGGCATTGGCAGGTTCCTGAAAATAAAGAGGGACTCCAGAAATATTCCAATACAAAATGCTTAACCTATTTTCCGATGTTACGCAAAGAGTTCTGTTTCTTCTCACCTGTCGGACTTTGTGAATTCTGGTAACAAGTTCATCTGCAGAAACACTTCCTGCTATTACTTCCAAAGGAATTCCACTGTCTCCAATAAAGAAACTGGACGGAACACACACTACAGGATCTGTACAGTTTAATTAAGTCTAACAATTCATATGAAACAAGCAGGAAATTTTATGAAACAGTATGGATAATACAGCAAAACAAAATTATTTTTATGAATTTCACAATATAATCAGCTAATGTTTAATAAATTCACCTATCATATCACTACACATGTAGTGCATGTGATACATGAAATTATTTATGTATTATTTGTATAGCATATGTGAGTGAAGAACATCACTACATTTCCCTCCATCACAACTTTCTTCTATCTCCATCTTGCCCACGAGCTGCCTCTTGCCTGCTACTTCTAACATACTAACCAAATTTCTCCATATTGATTTTCAGATATTCACAATATTAAAAACTCTCTATGTTCCCATTTCCTATACCGTATTATCTCAAAAAACACTTAGTATATAATTTCTATAAATGAGAATGCATGATTTCCTAAAAATATGAATACTTTTTAAATTTCATGAATTAACCAAAGAAAGGTAAACACTCTAGCAAAATATAAACTGATTCTTCTCTGAAAGGATACAGATTTGTGAAAATTGTAGGCAGGCTTCACTGTAAAACAAAATCAAACACTAAGTCAGCAGATGAATGCAACTATTTACCAAACGATAAGTTGCTTTTATAAAATGTTTTGTACTAATCAAAAGTATTTCTCTGAAATTACCAGTCCCTTTCACAGCCATGAGCTAAAAGAAAAATATATAATTCTTATTTCACAAGACTTTCTTGGCATGTTTATTTTATAATTTTCAGATTAAAGAACCAATTGCTCTTGCAACCTACAAACTGGTATCTGGATCTGGCTGCTAAAAAGTGTAATTAATTAGTATCTGCCAAGTTACTTCCTCAGCAGCAAGTAAACATACCTGAATACAATATATTAAACTGTAAAAAAAGGTATAATGTCTATTTATCACTTACTTGTGCAAGTGACAATGTAATACTTTGTAATAACCAAGAATTTGAAATAATCTAAATATCCAATAGCAAAACTGATTAATTATACAACTATAAAAAAGAAAGGTTGGGCAATCTACTTCCGTAGTGATACTGCCTCGGAAACCCAAGGAGGGGTCACTATGAGTCGGGTCTGACTCGACGGCATATAACAACAATAAAAAAGAAAAGGTACAAAACAAAATCCAGAAAAAAAAAAGGTGCAGAAAAAGTATGTCAAAATACTACCATCTTTGTAAAAAAGAAAAAGAAAACAGATAAAAATATATTTTCTTGATTATATGGAAGAAATCTCTGGAAAGATACATAGAAATTGGTTACAATGGCTGACTCCAAAGAACGTAATTGGGTGGTTAGGGTAGACGGAAGGTAAACTTTATACTAATAATACAAACAAGAGACATTGATCAATGTAGATGAGCAGTTCCAAGAGTCAAATTAATACTTCCAAGAACTAAATGTTTTTGTGTTTGCAAAGTAAAAAACATGATCAACATAAAAACATTTGAAAATGAGTCAGAGCCAACATGATGACAATAAAGAAAAAAAATGTCCAGAATCATACTATATCTGAAATAACTACCATATATTTTGATGTATTTCCTATCAATCTATTTTCTATGCAGGTGTCTCCATAAATAAATAAATATAAATGTACACATAAAATAAAATGCCCTCTAAATACTAGGTAATTTAATTATTATTATATAATAAATTTTTTTTTCATAATTTAAGATATATTAGATTCTATTATGATGATAACAAATATAAACCACCACCATACACAGGAATCCATACATCCCTAAGAGAAAGCCTGTTTAAAAAATGCTAGATAAATCAATCTGTACATAATTGTAAGAATTTCTGAAATTCTCATTTCTTCCATATTCCCATATTCCTCCTACCCTTCCTGACTCTAAAACATGCTTATGGAAAGTAATGGACAATATAATACATATGCTGTAAATTCCTTTTACAAAACTTTCACAGCTCAATAAATGTATAGTTCAATAATTTACTGTGAGCCAGACTGTACTAGGATTTGCTTTGTTCTAATATTTTTTTATTGTTCTTGTACACTGTACATGGGTGCTCTGATAGTGTAGTGTATAAGGCACTTGACTGCTAACCAGAAGGCTGGCGGTTCAAATCCACTAGCCACTCCTCGGAAGGAAGATGGGGCAATCTACTTCCGTAGTGATACTGCCTCAGAAACCCAAGGAGGGGTTGCTATGAGTCGGGGCCGACTCGACGGCACATAAGAACAACATTGTACATGGAAAATTCTAAAGTTTATACACTAACAGATAAATTTCTGAACAGTTTAATCTTGTCAAGGAGCTTTGGTGGCACAGTAGTTAAAGCATTTGGCTGCTAACCAAACGGTCCGCAGTTTGAACCCACCAGTCATTCTGGTGGAGAAAGATGAGACAGACTGCTTCCTTAAAGATTTACAACCTTGGAAACTCTATGGAACAGTTCTACTCTGTATTATAGGGTTGCTATGAGTTGGAATCGACTCAATGGCAGTGGGTTTGGTTTGGTTTTTAGGTTAATCATATTTTCAGACATCTTATTCACTCTGATAGTATCAATATCATCAGATACCATTCTGCAACTACTAATGAATTGGTATTTATAGGCATTGATCACCAATACCTGCTAACATCATTAAGAGAAAACCAGACACTGTATACCTTCTGATGGAAGACAAACCACCACTACCTTTGAAGTAGTCTTGATAAAAAAAAAAACCCGAATGTGATCAAGTCTCAAGACACAACTATTAATTTACAGGAAATAAAGAACAGAGGAATAAATTAAATGACATCAACGGGAGTGCAAACAATGAAATCCAGACTATAAAAAAACTCTACTGAAAAACTGAGCTGGATTTTTAAAAAAGTACTTTTGAGTAATGTCAAAAATATAAGAATCCCTCTATTTCAGAGGCATACTTAAATATTTATAGATGGAATGATATGGTATCTAGGTTTTGTTTGAAAATTATATGGGATGACCTTATGGAATACAGATGCAAAAATCTTTACTGAAATACTATGAAACAAAATTCAACATGATTAAAAGAATGATACACCATGACCAAAGGGGATTTATCCCAGGAATATGAAGGTGGTTAAACAAAAGAAAATCAATGAATGTATTACACCACTAACAGAACAAAAGAAAAGACTTGATCATCTCAACTGATAAAGAAAAGGAATTTGACTAAATCCAACACTCTTTCATGATAAACACACTCAGCAAACAAAGAATAGAAGGGAAATTCTTCAACATGCAAAAGTGCATTTATGAAAAACCTACAGCTAACACACTCAATGGAAAAAGGCTGAAAGCTTTCCTCCTAAGATCAAGAGTAAGACAAGGATGTTCACTTTCACCACTGCCAGTCAACATTGTACTAGAAGTTCTAGCCAGAGCAATTAGTCAAGGAAAAAATAAATAAATAAAAGGCATCCAATTTGGAAAGGAAGTAAAATTATCTGTATTTATAAATGACATGATCATATACATATAAAACCCCAAAGAATCCATAAGAAAGCTTAAAGTGTCCATTAACAACAACAAAACACTCACTGCCAACGAGTAGAATCCGACTCATAGCGACCCCTGCTTCAGTTTCCAAGGCAGTATCACTAAAGAAGTAGATTGCCCAATCTTTCTCCTGAGGAGTGGCTGATGGGTTTGAACTACCAGCCTTCTGGTTAGCAGTCAAATCCCTTAGGCACCACACCACCAAAAAGATGGGAAATAGATAGTGATGATACTGAATTATTCACATAAAATTCAATGTCACTGAATTATACACATAAAAATGGTTGAAATGGCAAATGTTTTATGTATTCTGTCATAACGAAATCTTTAAAAAATTGTATGGGATGGGATGAATGGAAGGAGGTGGGGATATAAATGAAACAAGGCTGGCTATGAGTTGATAATTGTCAGAGCTAGCTGACAAGTACACAAGGGGGATTCACTACATTCAATTACTTTTGGGTATGTTTGAAAGTTTCTATAATAAAAAGTTAAGGAGTATGAAGGACGGAGGAAGGACGCTGAAACAGAACAGATTTGAGGATATCAACTGCTATGAGGGATCTATAAATGTCTTTATTCCTATTCAATTATGGCTCCATTCCCATATACAGGATCCAAGAGAGTGGTTAGTTAATTTTTCAGAAATATTCCATATAAGATTTACAGTTACTTCCAAGTTCTTGGGAACTGGGGATCACTCTCCTCTTTGCATTCCTGGTACATGTCACACAGCTTCCTTGGCACTAGGAAAATTTGAAGAATTTTCAGCAAGGTATAATTATAATAATTATATTATTAGGTAAGATATAATAATTATAATATTATGGAAAATGGCAGTCAGAATTTAAGCCTCTGATATGCCTTAGACATCTAAAAATGTAGCATCAATATTCTAGTCCTAGTCCAAAAGAATCACCATAAATCACAACCAAAGACTATGATTATAACATTTAAAAGTCATGAAATACTAAAACATGAGCAAACCTTTTGGTATCGATTTTAATAGCAACAAAACTGTCTGAGGATGCTTCTGTCACTTTCTCATCTTCCCAGCTTGCTGCCATCTGTGTAGACTGCTCATCATTACCTGTAAAACATTTTAAGGATTCTTATTACAGTGATTATCTGAAAAAGTGCATTTATGAAAAACCCACAGCTAACATATTCAATGGAAAAAAAGCTCAAAGTTTTCCTCCTAAGATCAGGAGTGAGACAAGGATTGCAAACTCTTTTCCCTGGAAAAATGGAACTTCAAATAAAATATAGTCCCACAAATAACATTTTCTATCAAATTCGAAAACTGATTTTTTGCCATAAAATGAAAAGTGTTAATGCACTGTTGACATAAAGATCAATGAAAATGAAATTCTGCTATTCAAATTATATGAAGTATATTCTAAAAGATGACATTCAAATTCTAAGGTAAACAGTATCACCAACAATAAGAAGTCATCAAGAAAAATGTCTATTTTGGCTTTTGTAAACAGCATGATTTTAAAAATAAAAGTACAATACCCTTACTGAGTGCAGAACCTTTCTGTTCAGGAGTTCAAGATCTTCCACATCAAAGTACTTGTTCTTCAAAATTCCTCCAGGGTAGATAGCGGTAAGTCCAATTCTACTTAGTTTTGGACTTGCCTTTATTACAGGTATGCTAATTATCATTATAAAAAACCAAAACCAAACCTTACTGCCATCAAGTCAATTCTGACTCAGCAACCCCCACCGGGATTTCGAGGTAGTAAATCTTTACAGAAGTAGATAGCCCAGTTTTCCTTCCAGAGAGGCTGGTGGGTTTAAACCACCAACCTTCTGGTTAGCAGTCAAATGCCGTAGGCACTCTGCCACCAGAGCTCCTTAATTATCATTATAAGTATGATATTGTGCTATTATCATTTTATAAAAATTATGCTAATCCATGGTGATAAAATTCAGCACAGCAATTACCTTGGTCATGAAGACTTCTTGGGGTAGTAGAAATATGTAACTCCATAATAAAAATTAAAAATGTTTTTAAAATTATATCTATCAAGGCTTAGATTTATATAGATCAAGACTGTTTCAAATTTCACTTGTAATGTCTAGATTTTAGCATAATCAGTTCTTGGTGGGCAGAAGGAAATTTACCTGATTTGAGCCATTAGAAAATATCTGAGGTTAGCAAAGCTAAGTGCTTTCTCAAAAGTGACCAACCTTTGTCAATTTACAGATTGAAAAAATGTTTTCAAGCCACATTCTGAGTTTTTTTTTATTTTATTTTATT